TAGACCAAAACACCATTAGGATGAATCCAAAATGTCAGTTGTCCCTTTGGGAATTTTTTTTAAGTACCCTAACGGCATTCTTTAATAGGTATATTTTTCCTACAGCTGAGATAAATCCATTTTAAGCCAGTATCTGATTTTTGTGTGTATGCTTAGTTCCCTCTCTCCCTTCCCTCCCCTGCCCCCATTCATCTAAAGGAGAGGTCTAGTATTTGCTTCTTTGAGCAAATAAAATTACTAAAAATATTGAAATGTGTTCCATTTTGCTTCCATAAGAAACAAACAATAAAATACACTACTGTTATGGTCCAGGCTAGCTCATTAATTTGAGAAAGCTTGTTACATTGGGAATGGTAATGAACATTCATTTGGTGAGACTCTATCACACTCTCAAAACTTTAAACACAATACATAATACTCCACTGGAGTGAGGAGAAAGAAAAAGGGAAAAATATGGATTTATTATACTCATACTTTTGTTTATATTTACAAACTACCTTTAGTGGCACTACACTGATACTCTGATAGGAAGAGAAAGAAGGACACAGTGTGTTTCTCAATTGCTAGGATTTATACCAGCTCCCAAAGACAGGATCAAACATTCTACAACAAAGTAAAGTTTAAACATCAACTCTTAAGTATTGCCAAGAAAGGAGTCATGTTTCAAAAATCTTCTTGTGGTTTGAAACTTCATTTTTTCTGCCAGAGACAGAGTTATACAGCACCTTCACGCTACTCTCAATATTTAGATTAGATTCAGCACTGTTTTCATAATATATATATGCCGTTATGAAGTTTGACATGCTTATCTACTTTCTCTATCTTTTACAGGTAGTACACATTAATATTTATATGCACTCTAATCTCTGGTCAGAGTTGGGGTTTTCTTACCATAAAAGGTAAATTTTGAAAATTAAATGAAATAGCCTTGCCATGACACAGGCAAGTCATTCCTTAAGTAATTTTATAAAGAGAGCTTCTATGTTGATCAATGGTCAGTGGGCTTTCTTGTTTATGCCTCACAAAGTCCTCCTGGTAATAATAATGCTATCATTATCCCTATTCCCCACCCCCTAAAAAAAGGAAAGATTAAGTGACTTTGCCATGACTATTGAGTCAAAAATGGTTGAACTAGGATTTAAATCCAGGTAATCTGTCTGAAGAACTAACTATGTCATCTCATTTTTTGCTGCCTTTTGAAGAGTTTTTATATGTTCTAGGGTCAAGTGGTACAATATACAATGAACATGTTTTAACTGCCTAGAGCATAGAAAGAATTCAATAAACAGTCATTTCCCCATACAAGAACAAAACTGCATCCAGTTTTCCTGGTCAACAGGAAAAGCATTTGCTGTTGATACATTGGTCTCATTTTTCCCTTCTCTATTCTTTCATGTGTATTATTTTATTGTTTGTATATGAAAGTAGTACCCTAGCCTTTCTGTTGCATTAATTCTTTGTAACAAGTCCTGCTTCATTGTATAAATAAACTCTAATGCCTTTAATAATTACATAAGGCAGGAGGTTACAAGTTACAGGTTGAAACAGATCACTGGACATTCCTCCTGCCCTGTAGCTCTGTAAACACAGGCGGGCCAGTTAGTGACAGGCTACTTTAGATCCAAGAATGTTTACAGGCACTTCAACCCATGGGAGCCACTCGGCTAAGGAACAGGTGGGTGATATCACTCAGGAAGCATACAGCCTGAGTCTACTTATTGATGAAACTTTTTCACTACCTATATTCATAAACACCTCTCTGGCCAGGCATGGGCCAGAGTTCTAGAACTGGGATATGTTCTAGTTCTAGAACTGGGATATGTATGAAAAAATTTTTCCAGATCGCTAAAGAACAACCACAACAAAGAAGTATTTGTAGAGTAAGAAAAACATACCAGCCAACAGAGAATCCTAAAGGGGGCTTCGAGTGCAATCAGCAGAAAGGAATAAACCTGGTTTATAATTCAGGCTTTAAAGTAAAAGTGTGTTGAGCCCACTGAATCTATCGGAAGAGTAGGATCCAAGATGTGGGCAGCTCAGGGTGTGATAAGGCCCTTGGTACCCGGCTCAGTGAGACACAGCCCGGGATTGTGCTGATGTTGCTTATTTTAAGGAAAGAAGAGGACTGAATCAATGACTCCAAGGGCTTGGGACCTATTAGAATCATTATAATGGAATAGATAATTCTGTTGAACATCTGCTGCCCCAACAGTGTGCAATACAATATTCCGTTAATTGTATAAAAATGCAGATGCTATGAAACACAGCCGTGGATGTATCATGTATCAGCCACACACGTCATATTAAAGTTTCCCCTAAAATTTTCCCTCTAACAGATGTGTTTATGCCTATTCGTATAACACAGTACACTATGGGGCTGAGTCGCTAAGCTCCCCCCAGCCTTATATCTCCCCTGACTGTTGTGAAGGAAGATTATTAACATCCAAAGGGAGGCTTGTATGTTGCATATTGAACACACATCTCCAAGGATGCACAGCTTCGGTGGCTAGCTTAAGGGAGGGGCAAAATGTGGGACTGAAGGTCAATAGCACAGGAGCAATTCAAGAACTAGTTGTCCTCTTACTGATTTGGGCTATTACAGCAAGTGTGATCAGACACTGAGAATACCTAAGACCTACAGACTGGAAAAATAAAAAACAATCAAGAAGGAAAAAAGTGTACTTTCCCCACAAGATATTGAGTCTATCAGTTATTTATTACTCTGGAATAAGGAAAAACACACTGGCACTTACCATCATAAGGAAAGTAACAAAGAAAGAAATGTCCATTCCAAACCAGGCATATTTAACACCATGTGCTTCCCTATAAAGCAGACCTCAAGTTGGCCATCCTTTTCTGATCAAATGAAGAACATATTCTTAATTAATTTAGCAAATGTGAAGGGCTCGGGAAGGGGTAAAAAGTCCCTCCTCCAAAGAAGATTCTTGCATGGTGAGAGAGAGAGGAATAAACATACCAAATACTAGCCTAGAGATAATTTGACAAGTTCATCAAATTTCCTGGGAAGATAGGTGAAAGACGCTCATTTAAAGGGAATGATAGCTGTGGAAAGGAACTTAGAACCAGAGCCCCAAAGGAAGAATCAGCACCACCAAGGAAGCGCTACAATTCAATGTCTAGAGAGAACATGAAGTCGTTACAAGACAGCTACCTGTACCTACCTGATAGGTATGTATACTCGGCAGGATGCAGAGAGGCCTAATCTTTCACCCATGACACCAGGGAATCACTATCTTGTAGAAAAGACCTGCTTAATGATATTGTTGCTACTTTAAACCCTTGCAAAGAGGCAAAACTACATCTGAAAGGAATGGGGTCTCGGTCCTCTGTCCTTCTTTCACTCACTATACCAAGCATTGCCTCAAGAACTGCATGCAGTTCTTGAGGCAATGGATGGACAGGCAGAAAGTCACTAGCAACAGCGATAAGGAACTCAAAAGTTAAGTCTTTATAACTTGCCAGCTTTAGCTTAGGTCTAGATCTCTTCACTGTGATGATCTTAGGACAGTAAAGAGTAATTATTTAGATAGGTTGCTAATCTGACTCCACATTTCATAATCTTTTGAATAAAATGCTCCATGATCCCCAAAATACAAGGTAAGAATAAAGAAATTGTCTTTCTGTCCTCTTGAGGGCTAATGAGTTGTCATTAGGGTCAGTCTGATGAGCAGTATCTTCTTTTGGAAGCTTGCAAGCAAGCCGAACAATTACTCTCTGTTCCATTTCTGTTTTCCTGTAAATCCTGCTTAAGGTCTCTGCCAATAACCCAGGTTCTGAAATGCTATCAGTGGTTCCAATAAGAATACCAAACAAATGTGGTTTGTTTTCTTCCTGCAAGGAACAAATACACTTGCTTATCGTGTTTGGGCACAGCTTTACCAAGTCCCATTGGATTAATTCCTCAGAGGTGTTTCACAAATGTGAGTTGGGAGTGGGGTCTAAGGGAATTAAGCATCTGATAAACTTAACCATTGGGAACTGCAGAGTAGCGGCGGGGGGCGGGGGTAGTGGTCCCACTTTGAAACGTCTACTTCACTGGATCACTAATAAGCACGTTTGATTCGAGAAGGTTCCCCTCATCTAAAGCATTATTTGTTCTTAGGGAATATCTCAGGTCCTCTGGACTGCGTTCTGATAAAGAAATAGTTTCCAGAAAGCCTGAACTGCCATTTCATTGTATGTCTATCCCATAAGCAACAGGGTTCAAAGAGTCAAGCAAAGGGCTGCTTTCCAGTGCCTTCAGGGAAAATAAACTAACCGGATTTGGGTAGAGGAGGTCCTGAAAAAGAAAACCGTCACTCCAAAAGTCTGTACGACTTCGCCTGAGCAGACCCGATCATCGGAACCCGGCTACATTTTATCTGCTTCGCTACCCTTTAGGAATCCCCGTCTGCTTCTCGGACTTTTCCAGATCCGAGAACCGACTGCCTGGGGGTGCGCACGGACGCACAACGCCGCGAATCCGCAACGTCTTTCCCTAGGCCCCCGACCCCGAAGGCCCCATGCCCATGCCGCGCGCCGCTTTCTCCACGGGGCTCTTCTCAGCCAGGCTCAGGCCAAAGGGACCGGGATCTCGGTGCCCGCGGCGCGTCCCCGCTTCTCTCGCTAGAGGGCAGCCGGGGCCCGCGAAAAAGCCCTCCGGCTCCGGGGCCCGCGCGCACCAGGCTGGGCTCGGCACCCTGGATCCTACTCCTGAGCTGGGTTCTGCCGCTGAGACGCCTCTAAAAGGGGGTGCTAGGGAGGGCCGCGGACCCCTAGGAGGGTGCACCCCTGGAGCTGTTGTTCTCGCTCTACGCGCGGGGCGCCGGTGCACAGGTGAAGGGGGAAAATTCTACCGGAGTAGCCCTCCGGGCTCCGCGGACACCTGGTTACAGGCGGGACCGGCGCCGGGAGCCCGGGGCGCGGGCGCACGGAAGGTGGCCAGGCGAAGGCACCCGGGCCAGAAGGAGCGTGGGGCTCGGGCCACGCTGCGCCCTTACCTGGACTCGGGTTGCCTTGGGCGGGCTCGAGCTTCTTGCCGGAGCCTCGGTCCTTCTTCTTGCCTTTCCCCTTCCCTCTGCCTTCTTTGCGCTCGGACATGTCGCTGGCGACGCGGGCGCTCGGCGCGGACGGTGCCTGGCGACGGCGACGCGCGGCAAGTTTGGTCCGAGCGCTCGGGGTCGGCGTTGGGGAAAGTTTGTGTTGGGCGGAGAGTAGAGCGCTCGCGGGGCGCGAGGGGGCGGCGCCCGGCGGCCGCGGGGAGCAGTGCGCGCGCGGCGTGCGGTCCCGGCCACCGGGAACGGGCGGTCGCCCTCGCTCTCGGAGCAGTACTCGTCGTCCCGGGTCCCGCCGCTGCTGGCTCCGGCCGTCACTTCTTGTCCGGGCAAGGCTCGCAGTCCGAGGAGCGGGAGGCGATCACTGTCCGGTCCGCACTCGCATCGCTCAGGGGGGCCGCCGCTGAGTTGCGTTCCGCTCCGCGCTGCTCCTGGCACTCGGCACGAGTCCGGACTTCCAACAAGTTTTGGGGAACTCCTCTCCGGCTCTTTTTCAATTGCCCCACCGACACCCACCTCCCCGCCCGCCCGCAGGTTGCAAGCTGGCGCCTCCTTCTCACCCTCCCCTGGCCTCGCCCCCTCCCGCTTCCCCACCACACCCCCACCCCGAGGCGCGGACACGCCACCGGGAGGAGCCTGGGCCCGGCGATCGCAGCGCAGCCCCTTTCCTCCCCGCGCCCCGCCAGGCAGGGGGCGGGGGCGCCGCGCGACTGCCGGGAACCCCCGACAGGGGTCGCTGGAAGCCGCGCGCCACCGAACGGAGCGGCCCGAAAGGCTCGGGGAAGGAAGGGACCCCGGGCGCTCTCGCTCCTCCTCTCTCGCTACTCTGTCCTCGCCTGCGCCGGGATCGCCCGCAGGGAGCGTCCGACCCCCCTGAAGGTGGAGAGGGGTGTTGCTTCCGACAAAAGTTTGCAACTCAAGACACCTGACCCCCAAAGGAAGGTACCGGGAGCTCTGGAGCTCCGGAGCTCGGGGGTCCGGGTGGCAAACTTTCTTTTTTTCCCAGAAGGGTTCGACTTTCTTTGCTTTCGCACAGTGAAGAGACATCTTCCCCTTTACCTTTGCCTGAAGGGCCACGTTGTAAGTAAACACTGGGTGGAAGGGAGGTTAAGGTGAGAATGGTTCTGGGCACCCTGGAAGGGCCGGTGGACGCCGGTGAGTAGATCCGCGCCCTGAGATTGGCTGATCTGCTTTCATGTGGGTATTCGCGAGCCTGAGTCCCGATTTTCTTCGAAACTGGCCTCCTCTGCGGGGCCTCTGTTGTATCTCCCTCTACAGCTTTTTAGTTTTCTAGGGAAGTGAGAGCCACAGTTCACGACGGACAACAACTAACTTTCCTGAAATCACCAATCACGAATCAGATCTACAGAGTGGGAGAGGTGGATGAAGATGAGAGTCCAGGAGAGCCCTGGTTAATACCAGTTTCCTTGGGTTTAGACTTTCTCAGAAGCACACGCAAACCCTACCCCTTCCCCTATCCCACCCTTGGCTCTACAAAGCAATGAAATCAGGAATGCTAGGCAAAGGCCAAAGACATCCATCTGCAACCCATGGAATGATCCAGAATGGTCTGCATGTACAGACAAAGCAAGCAAACAACAACAAACCTACTCTCATCATTACCCCACAGCTGTTACCAACTTAGATTGCTCATTTACAGCGACGTATTCTCACGTGGTCGACAGAAACGAAACATATTCGACGTAGACTACTACTCCACTTTCCAAGTGACTCATTCCTGCCTCTCCATATTTCTAGGATTAATACTAACTGAGCCATTGCCTGCCTACAGCCTCCTCTGTACTCTCTAATTGCCACAATCTAAATAAAGTTTAAAAAAGAAAATCTTAGTGCTTCCTTGATGTGTAGGTGAAAAGGGAGGGGTGCAAAAGTATTCATTTGAAAACTGGCTAAGAGTAATTTGGTCTACTTTAATTTGCATTGAAATAAGGACTAAACTGCTAAGTGGGTTAAATTGTTAAAAGATAGCATAGAAAGTTCGGTGCTGGTGGCTCAGGCCTGTAATTCTAGCTACTCCGGAGGTTGAGATCATAGAACAGCAGTTCAAAGCTAACTCCAGAAAGGAAAGTCCGTGGACTCTAATCTCTAATTTACCAACAACATCAAAAAAAAAAAATCCAGAAACGGAGCTGTGACTCAAGTAGCAGAACAACAGCTTTACAACAGCTCCCCAGACCCCCTGAGTTCAAGCCCTAGTACTGGCACCAACAACAAAAAAAAAGGTATTATCTTTGTGTTAAAAATAAGTTTCCAACCAACATTGAATATAAGATTCTCTGTGTGGTAGAAACAGAAGAACCAGACAAAAGACGAAGAATGTGTGTACATGGGACTGTAATAGTTCACAGCATAGATTGTAAGCTAGATTCTGAAGGTTGGATGAAGTACTTCAACCTTCTCAGGAAGGATCTCTACTCCACAACAAGGGATGGAAAATTCAGAAATCAGAGGTCCTTTCAAGAAAGAATCTTTATCTCAAATGTAAGACAGTGCTAAGAGTGTAGTGTGCACCAAGCCATGTGTTAGCCAATATTATTTTAAACATAAAGTAAAATGTATATTTTGAAAGGTGAATATAAATTAGCATTTAATAATTACTTTTCCTACTTTTGATGTAATAGAGATGGGGGAAAGGAGGACAGAAATTGCAAAGCTAAGGGTTGCAGGAACTTTCTTCAGAAGAAGACCATGCAGCACAGGTAAGGCTGCTTCCAGTTTCTAGAACCACAGCTGAGTTGTCAAGAAACCATGGCAAACCTTAGTTTGCTTCCTTTTGTATTTCATGTTATCTTCTGAAGAGTTCTTTTATTACAATATTTACAACCAGCTGAAAAAGTAACCAAGTGTAAGTCAAAGTTAAAATATTCTTGAGATTCATCAAAAGTTTGCATTTGTCTTTCAGTCTGTTTCTTTGGTCAAAAATGGCCCACGAATTTTATTTTTTAGCATTAAAAAATCATAGAATGGACTAGAATAAAGGAGAGACAAAGGGAGGATAGCTTTCTCTTTAAAAATTATAAAATGGGAATGAAGGAAGGGGAAACATTGTCCAAAAAGATTGTACTCATTACCTGACTTATAAAATAGTAACCCCTCTGGACAATACCTTAATAATAACCTCAACTGTATAATTTGGGAGTGATAATATGTAGTTGTGATTAAAATCTATCAATTTGTTGTGTATTGTTGAGCTCTTAGAGAGCAACTATCATATATAATATCTCAGCTCCCACATTACATGCAAACCTATCAACATATGTCAACTGAAAAAAAATAAAGAATTCTGAGTAAGCACCTTGAGAAATAAAGAAAGGCAAAACATAGATCTTGCATAAAATGACAGCTTAAAAGAAGTGCAATCATGTACCACTACGCTTTTCTTTGTCTGGGCTTAACTTTGAGAAGTACTCAGATTCTACAAAGCTGGTTGAATTTACTCTTCCAGTAATTCCTTTTTGGGAACTACTCCAAGAAAAATTTAAAAATGGGCAAGAATGGGGAAAAAAAAGACTAACATGAAGATATATTACATTTTCTGAAATATTCTATGCATTATTGACAGTAATGGAAATTTAATTTAGAATCCTGCAAATACTTTTAACTTCTTAAAATAAAGCAACTTCAGAGAATTTAAAGAATTACATTTTTAAAACTTTGTGACAAAGTTGACGTTAATGAACATACATGAATAGAAAAAAGAAATCTCACCATCATCGACTTCACAACTGTAAGGTTCATTCACTCAACAAGCACTTACTCAACAAATGTTTAAGGGAAAGCTAACATGTGTCCCTATTTTCATGAAGCTAAAATACCACAAGAAAGTCACTTAATAAAACAAAATTAATTATCCAATGAAAAGATTTTGATAATTTTTTGGAAGTCTGAAACTCACAAAATTTGGGGGATTTTATTTACTTACTTATTTGTTTGTTTACTTATTATTCAGTGCCAATACTGGAGCCAGCTTTTTTCGTGGCTAATTGGAGATAAGCCCAGGAAAAAAAAAATCTCCTTAGGAAAGGAAAGGAGATGAACAGACTCTGAAGGGCATGCTTGCTCTGTTATGTGAAGTTTGACTCTTGGAATTGCCATGCGTGTTGAGTGTGTTAGTGTTTCTATCTATATGCCCTGAAAAAAAAAGAGAGAGACAATGTTCTTTTTGTCACATATAGCAAATACTTCATAGTATTAAAAGTTGAAATTCTATTTGACTTATTTTGTTTGTTTGGGCAAAAAATGGAGTTTTGAACTTGGGGCCTTGTGCCTACTAGAAAAGTGCTCTGTAATCATTTAAGCTATTCCTTCAACCCAAGGGCATGATTTTATAACAAAATAATGAATTAAGTTCCCAAAGAAAATGTGGTAGAAAGTGGTAGAGCACTAGCCTTGAGCTGAAGAGCTCAGGGACAGTGCCCAAGCCCAGAGTTCAAGCCCCACAACTGACCAAAAAAAAAAAAAAAAGGCTCATCAGGCTTTGATTGTGCCAACCAGGTAGGAGCCTAGTGGGTCCAACCCAGAAAAATCATAGAATTTGTATGTTTTTCTACTTGTATGACATAAGAAATTACTACATACTGATGAGAACTACTGTGATTTTTACCTATTTTTATAATCCATGTGAAGATCAATCATAACTAGTATCTTGGATTAAACACAGAAAATATAGCTAAATATGAGCCCTTATGTCTTGTCCCTGCCCTTCCCTTCTTTTCCCTTTCCTTCCTCTTGCTTACCCTCTCTCCTCTCCTCTCCTCTCCTGTCCTCTTCTCTCTTGTCTTCTGCCTTGATTTCCTCTTTCTGTCTTCTCTTTCTTCCTGTTGCTCCCTTCTTAACTCCCTCCCTTCTTTTTAGAAATCAAGCCTAGGTTACAAGCTTTTTTTGTTGTAAGATAGACAGACAGACAGACAGACAGACAGACAGACAGACAGATAGATAGATAGATAGATAGATAGATAGATAGATAGATAGATAGATAGATAGATAGATAGATAGTTATCAGTGATATCTGAAAATAATTTATATTAGGAGCACCATCCTACCCAATTTTGTAGTCATCCTTCCTTATTTCACACTA